AAGGGGAGTGTGCACAATTCTACAATTCAGAATTCTGGACCCAAGATTGCTAGGAGACGTTTAAATTGACAATTTGGAATTCAAGATTCAATGTGAAAACAGTCTTTTCTGGAATTCTGGAATTTTCTGAATCTTGCATCCCGTATTCTTAATATATATATATATACATATGGTACCCCCCCCCTTTCCAGGGACCTACCTTTTTGAAGAATTCACTGGTATTTGCAGGGTGTTGGCTTTGGGGAGAGCAATGAAAAAGAAGCATGTCCAAGGACGTTCTGGAAGCTTCAGGCTTGATTTAAACCGATTGAAACCGATTAAATTTCAATCGGGCATGGATTCAAGATTCAAGATTCAAGAATCCAGGCCAAACTTTTGCAGGGAATCTTGAATCCAGGGTCCGATTTAAACCGATTTAAACCGATTTAACTTAAATCGGGCATGGATTCAAGATTCAAGATTCAAGACTGCCTGAAAAATGTTGGCCTGGATTCTTGAATCTTGAATCTTGAATCCATGCCCGATTTGAGTTAAATCGGTTTAATTCGGTTTAAATCGGACCCTGGATTCAAGATTCCCTGGAAAAGTTTGGCCTGGATTCTTGAATCTTGAATCTTGAATCCATGCCCGATTTAAACTTAAATCGGTTTAAATCGGTTTAAATCGAGACCCAAATTCAACATTGCACTTTGCGCGGCTGTACTCTGGCACAGTGTTGTGCAAGCATCCAAGTTCTGATTATTCATTCAATCTGCTTCAATCTAGGCCCACATTCAAGTTTGTAGGCCAAAGCTTTCTAGGGAATTTTGAACCCAGGCTCAACTGAAATTTCAGTTGGCTTCAATGGGTTTCACTCGGGCCTGGACTCGCATCTGCAACGAAGACTTGTCTAGAGAATATTGATTCTTGAATGTTGAATACAGGCTTGGGTTCTTTATCAAATCCTGTTAAAGCTCTAATTGAATTGTAAGTACATATTGGGAAAGGAACTCTATTTAAACTCGAAATTTCAGATTTGATTACCATTAGGATTCTGACCAAATATTTCCGTATTGAGTCCCAATTAAATTGTGTTCAAATTCAAACGAGCGTTTAGCGAGTGTACGTTGGTGGAGATGTGAATTGAGTATGAAAAACACTACACAACGCTGTGTTTTACAGTGATTTCTGACCATGGTAGTGTTAGGACTAGTGAAAAGACACAAGTTTTGGACCTTTGGATTTTTTCCTTATGAATTCCACTTAGTATGTTTTATCACATTCGACCCAATTTCTGCTTGCAATTCAATGGAGCTTAAGAAGGACATACTCCAGCCAGAATTTCGATTCAGCTTCCAACTTAAGTATTGATTGTTCTATGTCAAATTAAATGGTACAAACGATTCCTGTCCAATAGAACATTGTACTTGAAATTCAATCACTTTCAGAACTAGAGTTAGATTCTTAGATGGTCTAGTCCTAGTTTGGTCCTACTCCTAGTTGGGAGATCCTTAGTTCTAGGCCTAGTATGGTCCTAGCTTACTGAAATAAATAGAACGTACAAAGGACAATACAAAGGAAGTTCCTTATGAATTGTAGTTAATATATTGATCAAGTTCTATGCAACTGCTATCTGAACAGTAGATTAAAATTACAGAACATATCCAATCATAATTTATGGTTATTCTGGTTCAAACCAAATATATTACATGACTTTCTTTCCACCAGAATGTAGTACTTGACATCCAAATGCTATAAGAAGTAGACTTAAATGGTCTAGTCCTAGTTTGGTCCTAGATGAGAGATCCTTGGTTCTAGCGCTAGGTTGCTCCCTAGTTTACTGCAATAATTAGAAAGTATACAGGACATTACAGAGGAAGTTATACTTGAAGTTTACTTTTTTGTATGAATCTGAGGTGGGTCGTCTAGTCCTAGTTTGGTCCCAGTCCCACTTGAGAGATACTGGGTTCTAGTCTCATTTGGTCCTGGTCCTAGTTGAGAGATCGTTCCTCCCAGTCCTAGATGGGCAAAACATGCACTGGAGAGGCAACCAAAAGGTAGGTCCCTGGGGGGGGGGTAGCATATACATATATATATATATATGTACATGTATGTATGTATATATATATATATAAACTGGGATTCAAGATTCAAGATTTCTAAATAATAAATTTCTGGAATCTTGAATCCCAGATATTCTTTTTGAAATCCAGGTTTGTCCCAATACTCTCGGTGGTTAATAAGATTCTCGGAAAAGCTTTCCGTGAAATATGTCAATATCGAATCTTCAATCCAGTGGCAAAATGTAAAAGAACTTGAATGTTGTTTGGGTTTGGCCAGGATTGACAATTCTCAGGAAAGTGTTCTGTGTAGTCGTCCATCTTGTTTTTTCCATCCAGTGGCGAAATATGTTCAAGTGCTTAGCGATCCAGTGGAAACACTTTCAAGTTATTAGCTAGACAATCGTTCAAGTGATTTTGGTGAGCGGTGTGCTTCATGTTAGCATGTTGACCCTTTTCCAGGAGGTAAACAAAGATAGGTGTAATGCTCAAACACACTGTATGTTACAGTATTTTATAAAAAGCCGCAGGATCATTAGGGGTACTATATATGTGTGTGTATGTATGTGTATATATATATATATACATATGTATGTGTATTCACACACCGTCACCCCCCCCCCTCTTGAACTACCTCTCCACATTTGCTCATCTACTACCTCCGCCTTTTGAGATAGAATGATTTGGTGTTTTTTTCCTGTGAAAATATATCTCTAAATACAACTGAATCAGCTGGAATCCCTGTTTCAAAATAGTTTTAGGATTTGAACCTCTTTTCCCTTGAAATGTCCTTTTGGAACACCGTCTAACAAGTTTAATTGCGGCCGGATACAAATAACACAAATCGTACTTCGAATTTCCTTGTAGAATTCCCTTAAATGTTTAGCCATATTTAATATGAACTAAATTTGAGAAGTGGTCTCAATTTAATTGTTATTATGAAACGCTAATTGAGTTGTGTTCGTATTAGACTATAACTAGCACTTAGATTATATTTGGGAATAAACTCCTAACTTCTTTTGTTGAAGATTAGTTGGAGTTTGCCCGAAACTATACCTATGTTCTCATGTAGCTCCTATTTGGAAAGGATTTGCTTATATAAGCTGTAGTTGAGCAATGTTGAGCATAAACACATGGTTGAAAATTATATCCTAACCAAATTATATTCATAGTTCCAATTCTAGCTGATGTAAAATCCTATTTGGAAAGGGTAGCATATTGGGACATTTGGGATCTTGCCATGATGGACTGCAAGCCCATTCGTCTGTGCTGAAAAAAAACTATTGCAAATAAACCAAACTCTACAGCCTGCGCGCTGAAATTAAGCAAATCCTAGGCACCAGGAAAAGGCGTAGCATAAATATATATATATATATGTAATATAGATACGTATACATATTTGTGCATCCTCCATGCAACCCCGAATCCCGGGGATGAATAGACTTTGGACAAACCATGACTGCTGCTCAGGGTTGAGCATGGTCCTCAACCAAACACGGCTAGCCAAGCTGCTGTTGTCCTGACTATAAGGACGACTTTTCGAAGGTGTCGAGGTCAAACATCATCCTATGGGCGATCATGATTTTCTCAGTAGAAGCTCCTCAAGAGGCCCAAACAGCCAAATGTATCAACAACACCCGATGCCAACTGGTCAAAGAGGTCCAAGGACAAAAGCTGCGACTTCGAGTCAGTCAGTCTCTTCGACTGCAGGGAAAATGGAATCAACAAGACCGTGAGCCCTAAAATAGGTTTGAAGGGCAAGTGAAACCAGGCATTTTTAGAAGCCCCCATCGTTGGAAACATCCAACTCGACAAGTGCAAACAAAATGGAATAACACTTGACAACTGCACTCGAAAGAAAAAAACAAATGGGCGATGTTATTGGTTTGAGTTTGGTCGGTTTGATTCACAGTCCCACCTGCGGTCGGGAAAAGAAGCGCGAAGGGTATTGTTTGTATTACGCTCGAAGCGCTCTTGTCAAGAACAGTCGGGCGTACCACTGGAAAGGGACCCTTGCAACGGCTCCAAAATCAAGATTTATAGACAATTGTGGAAGCTAACAGGGGCTATGCTTGGATTAGTGAGAATCAATAATCCATCGTCTTACCCTCCAAAGAGCCTTTAGGGCACGGGTAAAGGGTACCCCTACAGTAGAGCAAGCTTTCTGAGCTGCGGATGCTGGGGGTCCCGGGCTCTTCGGTGCTGTGGCAGAAGGGACATGCCTTGTTGGGGCAGTCGATGTTGTCCTTCCCAGCGCAAACATACCGCTTGAGTGGATTTCGGAAAAGCGGGGGGTCTCACTGAACGACACCGAGGTTCCAAACAAGGGCACACTTGCGGCACGCCCCTTATAGACCAAAATACGTTGGACTCCCATGGATTGAAATTTTGTCAAAGAATGCCTGCAAGGATGCCCAGCAAACATGGAGAGGTCCTTTCTTTTGACGCAAGCGCAAGCGCATACGTGGCCAGGACCTCTGTCTTAGCTTCCTTGATAGCTCGTGCCAGTGGGCAAGCTGAGGTGTGGCAATGACAGGGTCCATGGACCTTTCATCACGCCCAAGACCCAAACCAGAAAGTTGTGAAGATGACGTCAACCTAAGAACACCCAAAAGCCACGGCTTTTTGGCCTCGGCACCGGCCGTCCTTGGTGTTTTTGCACATCATGGCGTACTTCAACTCCTGAGGGCCGCATAGCAACGCAAGCGTGGGACCGGTTGGATGGTCAGCTGGAAGGCTGGTTGTGGCGGTCGGACGTCACTACAAGAATCTTACAAACCCAAGCCTGGCCGGTGAGAAGGAACCAGAAAACCAAAACAAAAGATTGAGGCCCCCAACCCAAGCTGCTTGGAGTTGGGGCCATCCTGCAAACGAGGCGCCGCAGGCACGGTGCGGCGCTGCTTGTAGTGCAGCTCCAGCTCAACCTGGATCCCTACAATGGACCCCCCGAAATGGGCTTCAGGCTTCGGTTTCCCCGAAGCCACGCACCGCACACGAATAAGACATGCAAAGAGGGCGGCAGCATCCTTTCTGTATCCCTTTTCTTGATTCTGCACGCAGAAAAACATCGCCTAACATTTTGTACCAACTGCCACAGCCCCGAAAAAGGGCATACACCACATGCTCGGGCCAACAAAAACCACAACGCACAAATACCACAAAGCAGCATGAAGCATCCCCCCAAAAGAAACAGGCCCAACAGCCTTTGGCATTCCTTTCATTCCAAAAACACAGTAACCAAGACCTGGTTCCAAAATCGCGGATTCAAGACCACTGGCTTCGTTTGGCTTTGGTTTCCTTTGCTCTTTCCTATGGCTTCCAGCGGGCCCCAGAGGGGCGACATGCACGGCCCCGCACCTCCCGCAGGGTCTTGCGGATGGTCGCCTCCGCCGAGCTCACGTGCGCCACCTGCCCGGGGCCGATGGCCACCTGAGTCGAAGCTAGCGCGCGGTCGCGCAACGCGCGAAGCGCGCGAAACGCGTCCTGCGGAGACGCGGGACGGATGGCTCAAGGAGACGCCCCAGTGGTGGTTTGTGCGGTTTTCCTTTTTGGCTTCTTGGTAAGCTTGTGATCGGTTCTAGAGGTGCAGAGAGTGAGAAATGGAATGACCGTATACAAACCATCCCTGCCTGGTGGTTTGCTTATGGGGACCAAAGCCTGGGTTTATTCCCAAATTCCCTACCTGTCGCAGCAAGGGGACGCCTGACAGAGAGCTTCAACCAAGGGAGTGCCGTCGTTTGTCTCGCTACCTTCATCTGACCCAGAATCCAAGGAGAGGTACCCAATACTCCGCTACAAAATTACAGCCCACAAGCAGCCCATCCCTTCCCCCAAAGTGGACGTGTTGCTGAAGAGTAGGTCTCCGGCGGCTGTAGAAACATCGTCCAAAAGGGAAGGCAAGCTAGGTGCCCACCCCCTTGCCCCGCCTCAACCCAAAGGTACAGTTGTCCAAATTGGGGAACCGGACGGGTCCCTGACCTGTGGTTTCCGGTTCAAGCAGGTCCCCATCGACAGAGTCCCAGCGCGCCTTAAATGGCGCTCCAAGGGTCTCTGGAGGTATCAGCCTCCGCGGAGTGCAGCAAGTCAATTCTGGGAGAAACTCATCCCAGAGCCCTGGGAATGACATCGGGTGTTCCGTGGTTCCCTTTTAGGGCTTACTTGTAGAACCATGGTTTATCGTGTTCATTGATGGGTGTTCAATGTGTTGGCCCTTGCATGGGTCAAGTCATATTTGTTGAAAGACAAATGCTGAATATGTGTGCAATGCCGGGCCTTAGGGTTCATGGCCCGTGATTGAAAGGCCTGGGCTACCCGAGCTGAAAGGCGCCTTGAAGACACCTAATTGCGTAACCCCTAGATTTTGGATGCATCAGCCATGTGTGTGGTGTTTTTTTGCGACCCTACATGGAGAATACATCACCCCACGTGCTTCTTGCTCCCAAAATGGAGGCTCCCTTGTGACTTCCCTGCCGGGAAGCTTGATGGGCAGACCGGCCACTTTGTGCTTGAAGTCCTTCATGGCTTCATCCATGGCATAGAAGGCACTCCTGGGCTTCAACTCGGGTTGCGCCGAATTCCTCCCAGACCAAAACATTGACGTTTGCCCCGGGGAAACTGAGGGCCAGTCCAACCAACCTGGTGGTTTGCTCATCTTTTAGATCGGAGAAACCCTATGGTTGACATAGGTCGCTGTGACCGACCAATCAAAGTCTGTATCATAGATCGCCACAGGAACACGGGGGTGATTTTGCCTCTTCTTATGACGGGTGGACATCGGAAAATTGTGGTATGTCCACCAAGCATGATTCAGGGTGTTCCAACCATCCTGAGTCAAGCCAAGCAAGCCATATTTAAATGTTGACACCAATTTGATATGTTGCCAAGTAAGGAACAAATAAGTTTCTTATGTTCCCGATGTTTCATTGGGACCAAATAAGGTCAACCAAGGCAAAAGCAAATCTTGGCTGGCCGAGCTGCGAGTGATAGGTCTGCAGCTCCAAGGTCTTCCTCAAACGAAACGTGGCCTCCAAAGCGCAAACCTGTTGGACTAACTTCCGCGGATTGGCCAAAAAGCCCAAACCGTGTGTTTAGCTTCCCAACACTCCTAAACAATCAATCTCAGGCAGTGAGTGGATAACAATGCATCAAACCTTGCATGATGCATCCGGGTCAACTTGAGACTCACTTCTAAACTTGTGTGGTGACTGAACATGACCCAATGTTTTGTGTGAAGAGCCAATGTGATGGCACACCATCACGCATTGACGACTGCTCACTATCACTTAGCTATTCACAATTTCCATGCAACCTCAAACACGAATTGTCATGCGACTCTTTGTCAGTGTTAGTCCCTCTCAGGTTCAACGGTTTAAAGATGCAAAACTAACTGTCTCACACCGCGGCTCAGCACTCTGCCAAATGGGACATCTGTCAGCCACGCTTCCTGCATCATTCTAGTAAAGGACAAGCATGACTGATGTCCAAGGTTCTAAATGTCCATCACACTGACCTCATATTGACAAGTTTACACAATTCAAATAAACAACTGCGGCCTTGCTTGAGTCACTCGCATCTTGAGTGGATGGATGCTGCCCACTTAAGAACTTGAACTTGGCTGGACTTGTCTGAAAATGGAGAACCAAAATGGGTGCCCAGTCGCTCTCGACTTCCTCAGAACAACTTCTTTCCAGTTCCAATGTTCTGGGTTTTCTGATAACATTCACCTGAAGAAAGAAATCCCGAAAACCTTGGTCATGACGGTTGAGGTCGCTTGCAACTCCCCCTTTCTTGCCAAAACCCGTCGACGTGCAGCCCAAGAGTCGTGATGTTGGGCCCCATGGTGAGGCCGCAGTACTTCTGCACCGTTTCCCGGGCCTTCTGCGTGCCCTCGGTTGAGCAAGTCTGTGGCAGGGCCTAACCGTCCGTGAAGCGCCTCTTGCTTAGTACTATGCAGTGTAATTACCCTTTGTCTACCGACTACGTATCTCGGCTCCAACAAAGGCCCTTGCGTCGGTGCTTCCCAATTCTGAGATTGTTCTACTACCTGAGTCAAGCCACAAGCCAGAAAAAGCAGGTATGTGGTATGCAAGCACTAGATGAGGCCCCTGAAGAGCTGCAACTAATAGTTCCACAGCGTGCGAAGAAGTGTTTTGCGCATTCTCCCGTGGCAAGCAGGCCTGTCACCACAAAAGGCTACCAAAAGGGTGAGTCAAGGGTAGTCGAGACAACACATCACATGAGCGACTTACCTCCCATGAATCTCTATGTCGTATCAGGTTACTTATGCGCGAGCTTGCGTTTTCCGTGCACGACCCATGTTTGTAGCTTGCGCGGCAATCAGCGAGCATGTGAAGCTTACGCAGCTTACGCGTCGGCGTTTTGAGCATTTCCCTTCAGGAATTACTTTGGCTCCTTTTCCCATGCAGCCGCCAGAACGTTCAAGATGACGTGGATAACTCTAAGGAAGAAGATGACGAAGAACTACCCTCACGTGTTTCAGCGGCTTGGATTTGTTGTTCTTGGTCAACAAACGGCTTTTGAGGCGGGTGCATCCATGGCGAGGGCTAGAGGGTGTCGAGGTTGGCGAGTTTACGCGAACATACGCGAACCCTACGCGCCTGCTTTTGCGAGCCTGCGCCCCCGAGCCTTTTTGGTTCGCGGTTTCAGAAGCCTTTGCTTGTCCTAGTACAGGTTTCAACAGCACCTGGCATGAGGCCAAAAGCTCCCAATCAAAGTCCTACTGGTTTTGTTTTCTAATGGTGCGCACATGCGGTTTTCGGTTCAAATCCCCAAACCACTCAAAACCACCCATTAAGGCTTACCTGAACCAGATGCGGTGTCTCTGCCATAGCGATGCGGTCACAACCAGTTGGCAATTTGTAGGGGATCGGATCAGTCTCGCCCATGCCTCCCCTGCTGATCTTTGAGCGCCAATCAAAGAATAGCATGTACCACAACTAGCACAAACTATCCTATCCCACTTCTGCTTGACTTAATGATGTCCATTCGGTGAAGCGGGACTCGGACACGTCTCAGACTAAGTCGGTGTTGCATGGGAGGCTGAAGAATGTGCAACGATCAATGGTCGAAGCATCCAGGAAGCAAGGGGAGCAGATCCCTTTGGCTTCCTCTTTCAGGAACACCAACGTTTGCTCAATCTTGTGGCCCCACATGAAGCATCAGCCAGTGCGCGTAAAATCCCCACGTGAAATGCATGAAAACGACTATCTCAATATTACCCTTGAACAAATGGTTATTCAGCCTTTTGGACGTGCCTCTTGAACAGGTGACAGGGTTGTTAAATAAATCAAGTGTGCACCAGGAAATTGCGAGTCTTCCCCCCCCCTCCATGGACACTGAAATCGGGCCTACGTACACCTGGGCAAACAGGACATAGTATCTTGTCACACCCGGTGTTGGTGCTACACGCAAACTCGTTTGCCTCAAGAAAGCATGTCTGGTGGAACTGAGCAGAGCGTGTCCTTTGCGCCGCCCGTTTTGGGACAAGATTGGCACACCTCGAGGACTCCTGCACTTAAAGGGGAATCCCATGTCCTTCTTTGGCCAACCTACATGGTTTGTTTCATTGGTTGCAAGTTGCCCATGCACCGCCTTAGCCAAACTAAATGATTGATTTAACTTTGGGTCTCTTTTGGTTGTCCTTTGAACCCCATCCAAAAGCGGGCCCAGCCAATTTCATTTCGCCATGTGGCCCGACTGACGTGCAACTTCGCGCGCGATATGCGCGCAGGCGCGAGAAAGTGAAACGGCTCGCCTCTGGATTTCCCTGGAAGAGCACCAGGCTGTAGCCCAAGTTCCTGCTCTTGCAGCTGCTCACAGAAATTCAATGACGTCCATTGGCTTTTTCGCTTGGAAAGAATGAGAAACTATGTCCAGTGATATTTCCAATGATAGATTCCCCTTAAAACCAACAAAGGACAGTAACAAATATGATTAAGCAAATGGAAGACTGTAAAAGGGGCCAAACCCTGTCGCAATTCAATGGAAGGAGTTTAAGCATTGCCAAAAGCCGCAGTCAGCTGAACCTCAAGATATATAAAGCCAGCACGAAGTGCCAGGCGCGCAAACAAGCACTGGTGCTGTCTCTCCAGGCAGGAAATGAAACCACCCAATCATTTAAGAAAGCTCTACTTATCTTCAAGTTGCTTGACCCCCCATCCAAACAAACAAAATCAAACAAAAACAAACTCTTGGGAAGGTAAGCCGCGGAACTATGAGGACCGGGGCGGCTGACTACTTGACTGGTGGCTGTTGCCCCCAACTCCAAAAGATTCACTTTCGGCCGGATGCCCCCAGGTTGAAGATAACAAGTCCAACTACTGACACTGTGAGGCGTGAGGTCCGATGACAAAATCTAAGGATTGGCGCAGAAAAGAGAAGACCAGGAATATTCTGGAGCACCACGGGAAGTTAATCCTATGACGGCAGCTGGAACCTTTGCAGATTATCAGTCAGAACTCTACAAATGGCTCCTGACTAGCCAGAGCCTCACGTTTTGCGGACTAGCGCGCAACCAGTCCCAACGCCGGCCGGCTCCCCAAGTCTCCAAGTCCTGGTGTCTTGCCGAAGTATGATGTGGGCTCCAGTCTGCGCAGCGATCTGCTGGATGAGGGCATCCGTGAGGATGGGAACCAGCGATTGCGGCACCTAGCCGTGGATTCTCCGCGATCTGGGCAACTTGTTGGAGGTTTGCTTGGGAAGGTCCGAGTCCTTGAAGCAAATCAGTTGCTTGCGTGCAGATTGAACATTTACGCGCATTGATCGTCTTACCTGACAGGCAGTCTGTATCCAAGAAACCCTCGACCTGTGCAACTTTTAAAGGAACAGCAAAAGGACTTCCACCTTTGTAGGGGTCCCCATGGTTCCCCTACTTCAGGACACACTCCAACACTTGTCATTCAAAAGAAGGAAAGAAGGCAACTGGGACCCTTCTCAAACTGCGACTTCCAGCACCAGTCGCCACGAACACGTACGTTCGCACCGGAAGCCGCTGGATATTTGATTTTTTTTATTTTCGCGCCTGGGTGATCCCTCACCATGCGCGACAAGTACGCTTAGCCAGGGTTCCCTCTATTTCCCCTAAGCCTCACCTCTGGCGCAGAAGGTATTGTGATGTTCAAAACCGGAAAGGGAAATCTGGGAAATATAGGGACCCCTGTGAGCAAATAAGTGGTGGGTAAGGCAAAACCCTGGCGGACTTGCGCGAGCTCCTTGTTTGCCGTAAATCAACTCAAAGACTCCCACTGTGACCTGCATTATGATCACCTGCTTCCACGCAGGGATGCCCTCTTGACCTCCCCTCCTCTAAAGCAAAGCGTCTGCTACGCTAAACGATGAACAACTAAGGTGTTTCTGTCTGACAAAAAACAATGAATCGACAGCTAAAAACAGGTCAATCCATCTGCCAGATGCCTCTAGTGGCTTGGCCACTCCTTGAGGCAGCGCTGACAACGGTCCTCGGATCCATTGGCTTCCGTGAGGTGAAAATTCAACACTTCTTACATGAAACTGAGAAGGGTCCGAAGCGACGACCAAACATACCAGTTCAACCTTAAGATTCGTCGGCGTGTTCCCCTCTTACATGACTGTGCAATCCTGGGTCCAGGTACCTTGTGCGGATGTACTCCCTTTTCCGATGCCTCAAGTTCATCCCTAGGCACCCTCGGGGGATTCCAAGTCCTGAACTAGGGGATCCCCAAGTGAGCTCCTTGCTGCTTGTACCCGATCGGGAGACCCCCCGGCAGAAAGTTTGACCTGTTGCCACCAGGTGAATACACATGCAGCAAAAGGCTACAAGGTTAACGGGTAGATCAAACAGCCACCAGAGGTTAACACATGATGCTGTCTATGTCCTGAAGACATCAAAAAATGACGTGCGGCCAACAATAGACCAAAGCAACACAAGCGAAACTTTTCCGCAGCTGCATGGCACATCACAAGAAATTCCGACGGCCGCCAGTTATACTTCTGCCCAGGCATTACCTTTAATCACCCATTTGTTGACTTTGGCCCAGGTGTAACGATTTGTTAAAACACACCATCTCTCCACACGTTTCCGCACGCCAATCAGCCATCCTAGGGGCGCCGCCAACACGGAAAGAAAGCTGGCAAAAACCCAAAAATGCACTCACAAGGGTAAAGCATCAATAAGCTCGCAGAATCTCTGAACAGCCCCAGACAGAACCTATCTCCAGCACGAAAATACAAACTTCGCATCAGGCACACGTGTGTTCATGAGCAACTGTGGATTGACCGCTGTCAACTTATAAAGAGCGTTGAACATAGCGTTTCGTGAAACAGAATCCCGCATTGTCTTCATAAAACAAAAAAGATCAGCACCCAGGCCTTAAACATGCCTCCAGCTCAGCCCAAGCTTCCTGCTGCTGGTCTCGGCACCAGGTCCGCCAGCCAGTCAGGAACACCTGAAGGTTGCTGGCGCATGCCTTTCCAACGTGAGAGGCGTAACGCAAAAGGAGTGACAAATGCACACACATGCAGAATAAAAACAAATAAATATACCTATACATGAGCCCTCACATATATATATATATATACATATATATACATATATATATATATATATTATGCATAGACATTTTACACACGTGTGGAACTCTCATTTGGATTGGAGTACGAAAACGTTGTCGCCTGCACTTGTCCCGACTATACACAGCTAGCTCTGTCAATTCTGGCAAAGCCACAAAAAAGGTTTGACAGCCAGCTTGCTTTGGGGGGGGTCGACTTACGGGATACACACACATGCAGATGTTTGTCTTGGCGCACTGTTTTGCCATTTTCAATTTTCAGTCTTGACGCCGCTTTGCTTGGAACTTGTTTGTGTTTTGTTTGCTGTTCGACTCTTTGGCTGCGCGATTGTATGCGTGTGTGTTTGAGTGTTTGTATGTTCGTTTGTTTCTGTGTTTGTTTGCTTGCTTGCTTGCTTGCTTGCTTGTTTGTGTAGTTGTTTGTTTGTTGGTTGGTTTGTTTGTTTCCTCGTTTGTTAGTTTGCCTGTTTGCCTGTCTGCCTGCTTGCCTGCCTGTGTTTGTTTGTGATTGCGCTTTTGTTTGTGCGGGCATTTGCGTTTGTGCCTGTGATTGTGGCTTTTGCACACGTGGAGGTGTGTGTGTGTGCACATGTGTGTGTGATTGTGTGTCGCGCTTGTGTTTGTAAGCGCGTGGGTGTGCGTGTGTGTGTGTGTGTGTGGTGTGTGTGTGTGCGTGTGTGCGTGTGTCTGTGTGTGTGTGGTGTGAGTGTGTGTGTGTGCGTGCGTGTGTGCGTGCGTGTGTCTGTCTGTGTCTGTCTGTGTGTGTGTGTGCGCGTGTGTGTGCGCGTGCGTGTGCGTGTGTGTGCGTGTGCGTGTGCGTGCGCGCGTGTGCGCGTGTGCGCGTGTGCGCGTGTGCGCGTGTGCGCCTGTGTGCGCCTGTGTGCGCCTGTGTGCGCCTGTGTGCGCGTGTGAGCGTGTGTGCGTGTGCGCGCGCGCGCGCGTGCGTGCGCGCGTGCGTGCGCGTGCGCGTGCGCGTGCGCGTGCGCGTGCGCGCGTGCGTGCGCGTGCGCGTGCGCGGCGCGTGCGCGTGCGCGTGCGCGGCGCGTGCGCGGGCGCGTGCGCGTGCGCGTGCGCGTGCGCGTGCGCGTGCGCGTGCGCGTGTGCGTGTGCGTGCGCGTGTGCGTGTGCGTGTGCGTGTGCGTGTGCGTGTGCGTGTGCGTGTGCGTGTGCGTGTGTGTGTGTGTGTGGCCCCCCTGTTCCTAAGGGGTTCTGCGGTCGTGCCTCTCTCTCTTTCTTTATTGGAGTATGCCCATGCCGGCAAACCGACCCCTTTCTTAGTACCTCGTCGCGGTAGTCATGGGCACTGACGAGTAGCCGCGGCGAGCGAACAGATCGGGAAGGCTAGCTGACGAAACTCCACTTTTCAGGTACCTGGGGATGCACCCTTGCATTGTTGCCGTCTCATATCAAGTGTGTTTAGGCACTGCGTCCGGGCTTCGGTCAGTGTCTTGATCCCTGTTGTGGGCATCTGTTCCGACTCATGCACTGACATTTTCTACAGACAGTTACCGGACCTTGTCGCTCGTGACGCTTGACTGTTCCAGCTGACCTTCTCAATACAGGCTTGGACTTCTCCCAGACCTTCCGGCACCCCAGACTGTTTCCGTGAACCTTTCCTGTCGGACCAACTGTTTGACAACCCACCAGACCACCCGACACATCAGGTGAGAAATCTTGACGCCGTCAGCTTGCTCTTGGCTCGCAATTGTCGGCAATAGATGCCTCGCCCCAACGCAGGTCCGATGTCGAACTCAGCAGGCCCCATGACCAAGGCATCCAGGAACACTGCCGGCCCTACGCCGCCCAGGTCACCAGTGCACCAGACAGCATCACCGAGCAGGACATATCTTGCGCGGTGTCCAGCACCTCAAGGGCTACCAGACCTGCGGTTCCGGCTCCTGCTCCCGGCGACGCCTCGGCATCGATCCCTACCTTGCATGTCTGGCCTGCATCAGTAGCTGGCCCCCTGCCGCAAATCCTGGTGAAAGCACGCCCGGCCACACCGATGACCCCAATGACTCCAATGACGCCAACTACCCCGACAGCTTCAACTACAGCATGCCCACCTATGACCACAGCACCGACCCCTATCGCACCGATCCCTACGGCAACCCCATCAGGTCAGATGCTTCCACCGCCCAACCCACCATCCAGGTCACGCCACACAACGGAGGGAGATCGGTCACGTTCCCACAACGCTTCCCCCTACTCCAAGTCAGTGCCCCCACAGCGGCGAGGTCGAGCTCGCTCCAGGACGCCACCACCGATCTCCCGAAGGGACTCAACATCGGACAACTCCATCACGGCAGCATCGGATCTTGGCGCGTCGGCGCCCACAGCAGCCAAGTCTTCATCCCGGGCGCTTACGGCAACTAAAGCCTCATCCAGACGACCGAGAAGCAATCGATCTCCACTTCCGCGTAGCAGAAGCAGTGCCCCATCGGCTCCAGCCTCAAAGGCCACAGGTGCTCACCCAGATGTGGGGTCGTCCTCGAGGAGCATGCAACTACGCCCAAATCCGCAGGCGCATCCGCCGCTGATCCTGCTTCCCAACCCGGAGTCTGACCCCTGGAGGAACGAACTTCAGGCGCTTGCCGCACCGTATCTCCGCGATGGGATCCCAGTCAATCAGGAGCAGATGGACTATGTGGCCGCTACCTTGAATGCAGCTGGCATACCGTCTCAGCACTCCACTCTGAACTATGCGAAGGTCAACCCGGAACATCACTTTTATAAGATCACCCCGCACTGGTTCATGCTGACCGTCCCCTACCTTGGGGCCACAGTTCGGCTCAAGGAACCGACGAAGACGCGACCCATGCTGCTCTGGACTCACGCATCCAGTGTCGGCGGTACTCGAGGCATCCTGCGGAGCCGACAGATCCATCCTTCCCGGCAGCACTCCTCGGAGTGCCCAGCCTTTTACGCCCAGGGCTGGAAGATCACTGGGCACGCCGACTACGACGCTGAAGAAATTGCTCGCACGATGAGCCAGAACTGGAGCATGTCTTTTAACATGGCCCAATTGCTGCTGTTTGGACGCGCTGTTGGCACCTGTCAGCCGATTCGATCGGGAGGAGAGCAAGCTTGCATTGAGGCCCTGGATTCCAGTGAACGTCCTGATGTCATCCACTATGTGTCGGGCAAGTGTTGGATGGTGATCCCGGAGGCAAGTCAGATCGTTGGACTCGCATGGCCTACCGATACAAAGCCACCCACCGGTGTCCTCCGCTCGTGAACCTGCACCAGGAGCTGCTGTAACCAATGACAATTAATGATGTTTCATCGCGAATAAGAGCATACTTCGCCACACTGCCGTCTTCGACCACCGACGATATTTTGCGACAAAAAGTGCACGCCAGAGCCTCATTCAAGCATGTGTTGGCCTTACTGTGGGTTCTTTTTCCCTGTTTGATGCTTCGTGTGACTACTGCTGTTTCCCGGTTTCAAACTGCCATGAGCATGGTTGCAATTCGGGTGCCGTTTTGGCAATGTCTGCTGTCTCGGCAATGTGTGGCGTACCCCTAGCTTTTAACCCATTAGCAGTGTTGACGGCAAACTCCCATCTCGTGATGGCTTCTCAGTGGAACTATTCATGGCCGGCGGCATCGGCACCCTCCTCCTCTTCGCATCCGGGATCCTCGTATCTTCCGTCATGGTCAGTTCCGCAGTCCCAGCAGGAGGTATATTTGAGCTCCAATCGGATGGAACCCTTGCAACATCAACCTCGAGAGGAAGCAGCGCCTCGCGTCAATCCTCCTCGACCCCCACATATGGCTCACCAGTTTCCTCCTCAACCTCCCGGTCAGTTTTACAACTATTACGGTGGTGGAACAAACCACGTGCAGACAGGCCCTCGTCCTCCACCACCAGCACCGCCAGTTCAACCTCCAGTTCGGGCACCTTTAGGCCAAGGTGATGCAACGCAGTACACTCAGCCTCGATACTCGCAGCTACTCCCCAGCACCTTCCAATCTGACGACATCTTCCTCGACAAGACGGAGGTCCGTGGTCTGCAGCTGTACCGTCACGTTCAGCCTACTCAGTGGTCCAGAAGGGTCGGGCTCGCAGGAACAGCTATCCTGGATCTTCCACTGACACGCCTTCTTCGAGGAGGAGCAGAAGATCACGCATTACGAGCGCTGTCAAATGGGCGATACAGCACACCAGTCATGGCTCAGACGATAGCCGAGGCAGTCTTATTGACATCCATTCTCAAAGCCCTGAGAGGCAGGGAGGTTGACATCGACAGGACAGCTCGCTCCCTCCACGCGGACAATGCGCCGGATAAGCGCAATGAGGCTATGCAGTTTATGGAGCCACTTGCGCTCAAAATCGTGGATCTCATGGAGTCGTTGCAGCCCGCAAAGCAGGAGAACCTCACTCGCCACAAAATTGCCGAATTGGAACAACAGCTGGAGCGCTACAAGAACAAGGGCATCACTCTTACACCGGATAAGAAGCTGCCATCCTCGTCACCTTCCAATGCCGCGTCCTGGACCCCCACGCCCGGCCGCTCTGACCAGTCCCTCTACATCAATGCGGCCAACTCAGATCCTCAAGGACCTCCCCTACCAGTTCCATCTCCAGAGGCTGATCCAGCCCCTAAGCGACGACCGGCAAAGAGAAAGACCCCGGAGGCTGCCCCGGATATCACTCTAGACTCAGAACTTCTACGTCAAGGAAATCCCAAAGGTCAACAGGTACCACTTCCCACCAGCCTCACGGACAAGGTCTTCAAGGCATGGCTACACGAACGCACGCTGTCCAACCAAGCGACCTACCTTGATCTCATCAAGCAGGAGTTGGCGTCCGACACAGTGGAGCAGTTGAAAACCATTGCAGTCAAATGGGGGGCCCCAATCTCCTTAGTGAGCAAGGGATCGAAGCGAGCAC